ATTGGAATTGACTGACTGTTTTCTACTGAGGCACCTGATTACACTAATGTAAAACTGACATCATTGACCCTGCGTCGGCTTCTTCTCAATGGTGCCAGCAACGAGCACCTGTCACTTCCCTCTGAGCATGTGTACAAGAAAACTGGGACTCGACAAGTGGACTGGACGGAGTTCTCCAGAAAAACGCAACCAGTGGGTTATACTATAAATATAATTATGTGATCATATATATAGATTATATATAGACATTATCATCTCTCTCTATAGATATCTATATTATATATAGAAAGATCAATTAATCTCTATCTATCTATCTATCTATCTATCTATCTATCTATCTATCATCTATCTATCTATCTTATTGACGCAATTCCAAAATCTTTAGGGCTGATGTTTCAGTTCAACTCTAAAGGCTGGCAGGCTGCTGTGGAGACAAAAAGAGCTGATGTCCCATTTCAAAGGCTGCCAGGAAGGAGGAATTTCTCTTACTCAACAGAGATCAGTGTTTTGTTTTATTCAGGCCTTCAACTGATTAAATAAGGCCCACTGTGTCGGGGAGGGCAATCTGCTTTATTTAGTCTACTGATTCAAATATTAATCTCATCCAAGACACCCTCACAGTAACACCCAGAATAATGTTTGGCCAAGATTCGAGACAATCTTCTTAAGGTTATTGATGACCCTCGAGTTAGATGCTGATGCTTCTTGAGCAGATTTGTGTCTTGCTTTTTATATAATCACTGACCTCACTATGGTTCTCAGAGGGACGGTAAACACAGGTAACCATTTTGTGAATGTTACAGTTTCATCAGTAATTTTTTTGAAGAGGAGAAACTCAGGATAACTTACATTTTCATTACTCATGAACTTTCCTTTTTCTGTGGAACTCATTGCTACTGAAGGTTGTTGAAACATGAAACTGCCACAGCAGACACCAAGATAAATAGTTGTAGATTCACACCCACAGTAAATGGCAAAGTCTCTGCAGCAGGCTGCTCCCACTGCCGTCTGAGCCCATCAGCAAGACTCCTGCCTTCGAGCTCCTGCACATCATGCATATACCCCTCACCTGTCACTGCCAACTTTCCCTGCTGACCCTGGAGCCTGGTGGCCTGGGGCCTTCATGCATTTCCAGACTGTGGTCGGAGCAGCAACATGGAGTCTTCTCGTAGCATCACCCCAGAGGGGAAATCAACTCTTATCAGTTGCTATGTCTGCATGCATTTCACCATCTCAGGGAGGGCTGCATGCCCTGTCCCTGGGAGGGTAACACTGAGTCAGGCAAGGGTGAGGAGGGAGAGGCCGGTCAGCCCTCGCCATCTTCCAAATTTAGCCTTGAGTTGAGGTGAAAACTCACTCACTGCACATGTGACTCACACACCAAGAGATGCAGTCTTGGTGGAAGCTGGCAGTACAGATGGAGGGCCACCAGTTCTATCCAGGTTCTTTGAAAGAAGTCTTAATTAGATTTCTTAAGCAACGACAAACCAGGCAGGACATGGGGAAGACAGGAGTCAATCAGGAGGTATGGTCACCTCACTTATGGGGCACTTTATTCTTGGTCTCTAAGGGATGCTCCAAACTCAGCCTGATTGTAGGGCATTTTCTCAGTTTGGGGTTTCCACGCCGGGTGTCAGCATCCAGGCCTTGTCTAAGAGTGGAGGCACACTGCCCTGGCCGGTTTGGCTCAGCGGTAGAGTGTCGGCCTGTGGTCCAGAGAGACCCCGATTTGGTTCCCGCTAAGGGAACATATCTCGGTTGCAGTTTGTCCCCGGCCCTGCTTGGGTCACATGGGTGGCAACCACTCGATGTGTCCCTTTAACGTCGATGTTTCTCTCTCTCCCTCCCCACACTATCTGAACAAAAAATGGAAAAATGTCCTTGAGTGAGGATAAAAAAAAAAGAGTGAAGACACAGGTGAGAACTCTGCCCTCCCACAGTAGACTTGGGGTCCCCCACGAGTTGCTGCAGAAGGCTGCTCAGTGCTGCTTCCTGGGGAGGGGGGCTTTCCCAATGGGACCGCCCAGTCTCTGTCCTTACCTTGACGTAGAAAGCTCAGTTTCAGCTCCCATGGTATGTAGGGCTTGAGGCCTCCACTCCTGTTTCTGAGGAAGCCCTTGAATCCACTCGTCGCTGTGTCTTTCCCTCCTCATTTCTGGTCCCTTGTGACTGCCCCAAACCCATATCCTTCATAAGTGCAACTCAGCTACACATGAAATAGACATTTCACAAGTTCTACAACCAGGACGTCTGCATATTTTGGTAGGAGCTGAAGGAGGAGGGCAGCTTTTCAAGTCTGCTCAGGGACCCGTGCTTGGAATTAAACTTTTCCAAAGGCCACTTCGTTTGCTCCTGTGTTGGAACTGCCTTGGGGTTCAGTAGGGTGTCCTTTCTCCTCCTCAGACACCAACCCCCTAGGTTTCCTCGGCTTGTTCTTGAGCAGATGACACCAAATGACTATGGAAGTCAGCTGGGCATGGAGGTGTTGGTCTCCCTTGCTAAACAGGGAGATCTTTTTTAGGACAGAACCTTCTTGCCCAGTGAAGGGCTCCATAGGGAAGGGAAGGGCAGGACAAGCTCCTACTTCCATCTACTCTGCTTTTGCCCTTGGCAGGTCTGATGTCACAGAGAGGAGTGTCTTATACCTGAGAAGTCTGACAGGCTTCCAAATGCCTCTGTGGACAGAGAGGAGGTTCCAGGATTTTCTTACATTTTTATTAATTCTTCCTTCACTTCCCAAACACCATTTAACATCTCTACCTACTATGTGGCTGAAACCCTAACCTTTCCAGGTAAGGGGTAGAGCCACCCCAAGGGGTAGAGCCACCCCAAGGCTGAATGTGTGGACACACAGCTGCAAGGACCACCTTCTCCCCTTCACAGCCTCTGCACACCCACCCCCTTGTCGTCGGCTTGGCTGGTGCTAGCATGACCCTGGGCTGCTGGGGGTCTACCCGTGGGGTAGTGACTGGAGGCACCCGTGGCAAGAGTCCTCCTGGGAAGGGTCAGGTCACGTGAGGAGGACAATGTCTGTAGTTCGTTGCCCACAGTTCAGGGTACAAATGGCCTGAATTTGAAAAGGTTCAAAGCCTCGGTAGTCCTGAGGGCCTCTCTGGGCAGAGGCAGGGCAAGGTTGGGATGCTGGGGTGTGGATATCATGGTCGAACCTTCCTCATTTTGGAAGGAAGGCGAGGCAAGAGGGAGCTATTTTTCCCTTTGTACCGAATTGTCCCAGCCCAGCGTCAATCGGTACTTCAATGCCTTCTGGACACTGTAGCAGTGGGTTCAGCCCAGCTTGTTTCCAGGTTGGCCAGGGTCTCTGATACTCTCCTGCTCCAGCATGGGGGTCCCCAGCGTATGTTCTAGACTGGAGCAGTACTCACTTGCCCCTTCCACCTCCCCCCACACATACACTCACAGGCACATACATGCTTGTTCCTGTGCATACACACACACACATACCACACAACAGGCTGCATGGGTGTTTCGGGAGCCTGGTCAGGCCTGGACAGGATAGGATAGCAGCTCTCACACTTCCCTCTGGGCCTGGCAGTTAGCCACACAGTAGATGTGGTTATTAAAAAAATAATGTGGAGTGGAGGATAACTACATAAGTGAATGAATGAAAAGGTGACAAGTTTAAGAAAAACCGGAACCTCCTTTCTCTGTCTGAAGAGCTTATCAAAGGTCTCAGGTGTAAATTACCCTCACCGTGGGGAGAGAGTCTGGGGTAGTGCTCTCAGTGAGGCCCCCTTCCCAGACAGAGGTCTCAGAGGGCTCCAGGGCTGGTGACATCCCCTCTCTGGGGACCCCTCTCTCTACCTAAGTCCAGTCTGGCCTCCAAAAGCAGGTGGACTGTGCCTGGAAACACATAGACGCAGGCACACCTTCGGTGGCAAAACATAGAAAGCAGTTGCGGTCATGGAGAGATAGTCATGATAACAGGGAGAGCTGCACTGTGCATCGTGAGCAAGGAGCATGGGGACGACGGTAGAGGTAACAGCAGGTCACTGGCCTGGAGAGAGGAAGTGAGAGATAATGTCCCTTCTGCCCTGACCTCACGGCCCCATTCACCTCAGCCCTATGTCTGCGGTAGCCAACAACGAACGGTAGGGTGTGTGTGGCTGTTTGCACAAGGCACAGTGCTACAGGGGAAAGAGTGCAGAAGCAACAGTGGGGAGGCCTGAGCTCTGGCCCTGGTTCTTTCGCTGCCTCACTAAGTGACTTCGAGTAAATACTCCACATCTCCTTGAACCCCTTGACAAACGGCAATAGCAAACTTTGCTTCATCCATCTCCTCAGATGTCGAAGACGGACAATAGGCACGAGCCAGGAACTGCTCCACTGGACAGAAGAGAGATCTGGGGCCCAGAGACAGAAGAGACATGGACAAGGTCACAGAGCAGACCAGCAGCAGGGCTGAGTTTGAAGCCAGATCTCTGACCTCTAGGACGGTGCTTGCTCCCCTGACTCAGTCTAAACAGTAGGTTCTCCCCAAAGGAAGAGTTCTCTGGAGGCACAAGACCCTCAGTCCTCCAGCAGGGAGATGGGTAGGGCGGGCTGCATGGGGTCCATTGTGTTGTACCAACCGCAGGAAGGCGACAGAATCCAGGACCTGTTCTCCCCACGCGAGCCACAGAACCAGTGTGTCCGCTGGACGTCCTTGGTGTTGGGTGCCACCCCTGCTCTTACCTGCTTCGACCCACTGGTAGTTCTGTCTTCAGTGTCTCAGCTCAGGCTTAGTCAACAAGGGATGCTTGCCTGCCCAGCGCAAAGCTCTGTGCTTAGCAGAGAACAGCCTTTGTATTTGGGTTAGATTTTCAGGTGGTAGAAGCTGGCTTCCAGAAAGAAGACAGAGATAAGATGATGAGTGTTGCTTCATTTCTTTTAATTGCTAGAAATCTCTGACATTGGGTGCCGAGCACATCACATAATCCTCCCATAATTGTCGATGGCTCTTCCTCAATCAGAGTGTTTAGACAATAAACACCAGGGGTCTGTTACATCTTCTTGCCCTTTGCTTTCTTTTCTTTGCGTGCCTTGTTGAACTTAAGAGCTTCATCTTGGCCTGACTGACCAGCGATTGACAGTGGGAAAGGGATGGGAGCATTGAGATTTAAAGTCTTCTTCTGAAGTTTCAGGTCCAAAATATCGTAAATTGCCTGTATCTCACACTGCAGCACCTCTTTCAGGGATTCGGTCTGGATGTGAATGGCCTCATTGATGAAGTTTTCTAACTCCTGGAAGAAATGGAACATGGGAAGTTAAGGCCATCCACAGACAAGGCTCCTCAACAGGATCCAATTCTCTCCTTTCACTGGGTGCTAAGACCTTCCGTTTCCCACTCCATATCTCCTCTCCACCCTTCTCCATCCTACTCTGTGCCCTGGGAGGCCGACTTATGAGGGCAGCATCAACTGGCTCCTTTAACCTCTGGCTTCTGGTTGAGTTCCACCAGTGGGAGGTCCCGGCAGGAGATCTGAGTGTAGGAGGAGAATGAGGCCCCTCACCTTCCTCTCAGCCAGCTTTGGGGTGGCCACAGCTATAATCCTCTACCTACAGCCACACCTCCTGTCCCTTGGTTCCAGGAATTGCTCCTTTCCTTCTCCATTCTGGCCAACTGTGGCGATCACCTGTTTGAGTGTGTCATTTATTACGAACATTGTTCGGGGACCATAGGCCAGTACCCTATCCCCTGCTGGTCAATGCAAGCTCTATTTGGATATTATCCCCCTACTTTTCCCCCCTGCCCTCTTCTCATTCTCACATCTCAAAGTTTTAGCAGCTTCTTTGGAGGGGATGGGAAATTTCTTACAAAGTGGGCATGTCCCCCAACCAGCCACTCTCCATCTGCCATGTTAAACAGGAGATCCTCTCTGTCATCTAAATCAGGATCATGGCATCATGAAACCCTGGGGACATGGACTGTGTAACTATTTCTCCCAGTTAGTTCCCTGCTAAAGCAACCAAACATTGGAGGAGAGTTCCTGTCTGCCTTCGGGGTGTTGTGGGACATACTTGGAGTATCCAGTTGCCTAGAAGACATTTCTTGGACATCTCATATTTTAACTTAAAACCTCATGGAAAATCTTACATTTGCCCCAGAATGTCTCCTTGGTTGTTTGTGTACAAAGATAATGTTTTTCCCCTAAATCCTTGGGAAAGATTTTGCTCCAAGCGGATGCACTATGTTTAATCTATGGTGTTGAGTGTTCCCAGCTCAAGCACACCACCAGGGGGACACAGCAAAGGGGACCCTAGCTACAGAACACCAGGAAGGGACCAGCAGCAAAGTGATGGAAGCCCATAGGAAGCTGGAAGGATCAGGGAGAAACAGTTGTGTGAGGGGTGGAGTGGGTGGGTAGGCAGGAGCTAGACGGGAGATATCTCCTTCTACCCGTGACCTTGCCCACATATTCTAGAGCAAGGTCCCTGAAAGTGGGTGGAGATAGGCTGCTGGTTGGGTTCTGTTGGTCCCCATTGGACATCTTAATGCACTAAAATTGTGTAGCAGCCTGATATGCTATTTACCTAGGAGACTTAATCTCAGGAGAGTATCATTCCTTCTATTGTGTTAATTGTTCTTTAGAGATTTTCCCCAATGTTTTATATATATTTAAAAGACGCTTTCCAGGGCCATTCACTCTTTGGGTGACAATTCAGAAACCAAAACCCTTTAGGACTACACAGGCCTTGTGATTCCCAATGCCACACCTAGTTACCCACTCTCCCCCCATGCATGTGTATGTGTATATACATACACACATGTCACATGTCTCTGTGTTCAAAGATGATGCAACAGTGATGGTATCAGTGCCTAGGTATAGTTAAAAAGCAAGTCCAGACTCTGCCAGGCCCTCAAGAAATTGGCTGCCCTGGGGCCAAGCTAGTCACCATTTACTGAAGAGCTGGTCGGTGGAGACTCTGGCTCCTGGAGTCCCAGAGGTACTTAAGACCTGGGCAGCCCAACTCTGGCTGGTCTTGCTCAGTGGTTAGAGCATTGGCCCAAAGACCAAAGGGTTGCGGGTTCGATTCCTAGTCAAGGGCACATACGTGGGTTTCAGATTTGATTCCCGGACCCAGTTGTGTGTGGGAGGCAACCAATCATGAGTCTCACATTGATGTTTCTCTCTCTCTCTCTCCCTCCCTCTACTCTCTCTAAAAGTCAATGAAATAAAGTATCCTCAAGTGAGGATTAACCCAATTTCTTAGATCTATACACCAGACTCTCTAAGGTCCTCCCTGGACCAACTAGCCCCACCCCTTTGTCCACCTCACCCACCCTGAGCCCTTCCTTCATCATCTCCACCCAGGCCTCACTGCAGGCAGACAAAGGCACCGAGAGAATCTGTGGTTGTTCAGAGCCTGGGGGTCTTTTTGGGTAGAATCTGTCTCTGATCAATGATACAGTAGAAAGAACTTGGATTTCAGAGTCAGCCAGGCCTCAGTCCAAATCTAAATTCCACCACATGTCAGCTTGGTGTCCTTGGGAGAGGTGATGAAATTCTCGGAGCCTCAGTTGTCTCATCACTAAAATGGGGACGTGAATTATACCTTGTAGGGATGTTTCGTCAACCATGCATGCAAAGCCTGTGGAGGATGGTCAGTGACTCACTGTCCCTCCCCACTCCTGTGTGCAGATAATTGGGGTCTTGTCTTTGTGTCTGACTCCAGCCTGGATGTTCTCTTGGTAGGAATATGGCAGGTGAGCAGCCTCCCACCTCGCGGGCACAGCCATACCTCTCTCTTCAGAACCCGGCTTTGCTGCACAGGCACCTCCAAGAACTTCTGTAGCATGTGCTCCCGCTTCAGCTGCAGCGACTCCTTCAGGAGCAGCAGGTGAATGTGCTTCTGCGCCTCAGCCATACCAAGCTCCGCCACCTGCTGCTCATGCTTCCACAGGTCCCTGTCCTTGCCCTCAGCCAACGGGAGGGGCTGGGGCGGTGCACACACCTCCAGGTGGGTGACGGTCAGGTTGACTTCCTGGTCCTGGCCCAGGACATATTGGTAGAGTCTGTAGTGGTGGATGAAGGTGAAGTAGAAGTAGTCACAGAGGGCCAGCAGATGGGTGGTGTTGAACTGCCCCTGGTAATCTCTGAGCTTATTCCCTAGGATGGTCACAGCCTCGGTGATGGAGCAGCCTGTGGGCACAGAGGGGCCGGGCATGGGGTGTGAACCGGGGGACAGCTGCATTGATGGCTGATCAATATAGGCTCTGAACCCAGGCAGTCTGACCCCAGAGCCCATGGGGTCAGAGCCTAGCAACTATTTTATATTACCATTTATGAGCTTTTGACAGCTACAGGGTGTATGCCATTTCCCGTTTTACCTTGGTTTCCTGGAAGCTCAAAGCCAATTTTATTTAATAACTTACATTTATCCCATTTTTTTCTTGTGGTTATCCTTCTCCTTACCTATATTTTGACTTTTAACTCATGTTAAAGCCTTACTTCAGCTGTATTTTATATTATTTACACTTCAAACCCTTTGTGAAGGAGATGAGGGTGTAAGAGAGGGAGTGTAATAAGAGAGGAGCGTGAGCTGTTGGGAGAAACAGATGTTATGTTGGAGGTTTGTGTCATAGGGTTAGGTAAATACTGTCCATACCATGGGAAGACCAGCGCTGGGGGCGTGGCCGGCTTCCCTCACACTGTGAAAGTCAAAGTCCTACAGCGGCTCATCCACCTCTTCTTTCGGACTTGGTGGCCGCCCCCACTCTTGGCACACTGGCCTGGGCCCAGGATGCCCTTCCCTGCAGAGAACCCAGTCCTCACCCCCAGGAGTACCATTTCTCACAGAGGCCCCCGGACCACACACACCGCACTCCCAGAAACTAGTTCTCTTGCCACATCAAGCAAAAGTTAAAAGTTAAGGTTACTGGCCCTGGCCGGTTTGGCTCAGCGGTTAGAGCATCGGCCTGCGGTCCTGAGAGACCCGGGTTCGGTTCCCGCTAAGGGCGCGTGCCTCGGTTGCAGTTTGTCCCCGGCCCTGGTCGGTTGTGCGGGTGGCAGCCACTCGAGAATAAGTATAGTTATAGTGTTGTTAGATGTTGATAGCTTTTCATTTTTAAGTTAAACATTGTATTTAGTCATCTTTAGCCCTGAATCAAACACAGAGAGTACGCTTTCTATGTGTATAAAGCAAATACTGTACACAATCCAGTATATGATCAGATATACAGACTATGGTATTACAAGTTGTTGGGGGTGGGCAATTAGAAGAAAATGTCTAAAACAGCTTCTCAGTATGGTCCAGCAATCTCATGTCTGAGTGTGTATCCAAGGGTAATTCAAACAGGCTCTTGAACAGATACCTGCATTCTCATGTTCATTACAGCATTATTCACACTAGCCAAGACACGGAAACAGCCTAAGTGAATGTCGATGGATGAATGGATGAAGAATATGAGACACACACACACACACACACTGGAATGTTATTCAGCCTTAAAAAAGAAGGAAATCCTGACATTTGCAATAACATGGATGGACCTGAGAGACATTATGCCAATTAAAATAGGACAGAAGGACAAATACTGCATGACCTCACTGAGATGTGGAATCTCAGAAAGTAGAACTCACAGAAGTAGAGACGGGAGTGAGGGTCGTCAGGGGCGGGGGCTGGGGGAAATGAGGAGATGTTTGTTGGTCAGGGAGGCCGGCTCCAGTTATGCCGGATGAACCGACAACACGGCGTAGAGCCAGCAATGCTGTTCTGAGTACCTGCAATCTGCCCAGAGAGTAGACTTTAAATGTTCTCACTGCAAATAAAAGTGGTAACTATGTGAAGTGATGGGTATGTTCATGAGCCTGATGGTGGTAATCATTTCACAGTGTATATCAAAGTGTGACATTGTACACCTTAAATATTTGTGAATTATTTACAATGGACAAATTATTTGTCAATGACATGTCAATAAAGCTGGAGTGGGGGGGCACACACACTATATATATATATTTAAATGGCTCCCGAGGAAAATAACAACAAAGGGTTGTGGCATCTGCTACAGTGTGTGATGCGCCTTCCTTCCCGTCTTCTCAATGGATCCTCGTAGCTTCTGCCGAGACCCACCCGGCAACGGGACAGTGACCTCTGCATTCCTCGGCCTTGTTCCGGGGAATAAGCCAGCCTGGCTGCTGATCCCAGGGACCTCTTCACCCCTGAACCTGAGTCTCAGGTTGGTGGTGGGGAGGGGCCCCGGGCCAACAGGAGCCCTATGTTCCAGAAATACCTGGAGTTTTCTAAAAATACAGAGCTCCCCTACACACACACACACACCCCTCACAAAAGGAAGTGCTGATTCCAAGGGTCTGCCGGGTCCCTTCCTACACACGTGTGAGCTTCATGCTGCTCAGATTCAGTGGGCATTCTATTTCTTTTTGCTTTTGGAGAGAGGTGTTTAAAAATGCCGATATCTCATTTTATGGTGCTCGTGTACAGTATATAATTACAGAACAAGAACGGAGCGTTCCTCTAAAGGTAACACGCAAGTCAGTGCCCAGGGCGAAGCCGGGCAGCCAAGTGCGGAGAGGAGGGAGACGCGAAATAAGACCGGGAAGGGGAGGCCCTCTGACCGGGGTGCTGGAAGCTGGGAGCCAGAGAAGTTTTCCTGCAGAGAGGACTTGGAGCCCTGACACAGGACAAGTTTGGCAGAAATGGCATTCCTGGCGGAGGGACAGAGGGATAAAGGCTAGAGGCAAGTGTGGTACTGCACAGGTCCAGGTGCTTCCGAGCCCCTGGAGGCAAAGCTGGAGCGGGGGAGGGGGTGTGCATAGAGAGAATCATCAAATTAGGAACCGCAGCAAAGTTCAGAACTGTAGCCGGGAGCTGAGGAGCCATTCAGACTCCTTAGGAAGAGAAGTTAGAGGTCAGAGGGTATTTCCGAGAGGGTGGGGGCACCTGGAGGATGGCAGGGAAGACCAGTGAAGGAATCCCAGGGAGTGCGGGCAGGGTGAGGTCATGGGTTTCTGAGTCAAAGCTGGAGTCCAGGCCCCTGAGAAGGGACTGACTACGTATCGATTTTGTGAGGTGAGTCATCACACCTCTGGGCTCTGTGAAGGTTGAATGGCTGGAAGGCGCCCGGCTCCTCCCCCACCCTGGCCGGCAGCTCTGGCGCTGGGTCACCGGACCCCCCACGTGGCTGCCTCACCGCAAGGCCAGCCCCCAGGAGTCTATTCACCCAGCAGCCATGCGCACAGCCCAGGTCTGAACCAAGCAGTCTCCAGGCCCGCAGTGCTGAGCGCCCGGGGTACACTTGTGCACGCGAGCTCCCTGCTGCCTGTCACCCGGTGGAGGCCCTACTCCGCTCGAGCTGTGGCCTCAGCCCAGAGGTCTTGAACGCAAGTGGGGACCTGGTCCTGGGTCAACAGGGAAGGAGCCCCTGGGCTGAATTCTAAATTTCAGCTCCAAGACGCTAGACCAGGCCTGGTTTTCAGCAAAGCTCGCCCCAAGCTGGCTCAGGAGAGGCAGTTTCCAGGCCCCAGACCATTCCGCGTGTGCCACCGGTTGGAAAGGCCTGATGACTCAGAGAGCCGCGGATTAGTCTCAGGGACGTGCGCTGGCTGCCAGGGCAGACAGATCTGTACCTGCAAGTGGCTCTTCAATAACAGGGAGTGGCCTTCATTTGCATTGGCTGCTGGGAACTTCCTGAAGATGGTCCCCAAGCCCCTGGAGGCCAGCACCTGCTCAGGGACAAGGGCACAGGAGTGGAGAAGAGTAATAAGTAGGGAAGAGCAGAGGAGGGTTGGCAACACCAGATAATCCAGACTCAGGGCAAAAAGGCACTGGGCTTGGACCAGGCGCTCTGGGTCTGGGGCTGGGACATGAACCGGGGCGCTCCGTCAGGGTGGGTGTGAGGGGGAGGATCCAGGTGCCACCAGTGCCCCCTGACAAACCAGTTTGGTTGCCCCCGCCTGGCCGGGTTACCTTTCCGAATACTTGAGCACCTACCAGGGCTGACCTTGGGTGCTGGGAAGCAGATGAAAGCACAGGGCCCACGCTGCCCTCCCCATCCCGTGTCCTGACTACTGCCCCCTGCCCATCTTTCTGCTCTTGGCAACGCTCTGCTGAACTCGTTCACCCCGAGCTGCCAACCACAGCCCAGAGGACAGGGTGTGCTCTCCCTGAGGTAGCAGATGACTCTCCTGTAGGGAGTTCTCACTGTGCCCCACAGGCCCTGGGTCACCTCAGGCTCCACCCAACCCCTCCTGGCTCTGTGAGACAGGTGTAGGCACCATCTGGAGTTTACCTGAGAAAGAAACTGAGGCTCAAAAAGGTTAAGGAATTTGCTGAAGGGCACGCAGCTGGTGAGCCAACATTCCAACTGAGGCCTGTCCCAGGAAGGCCCTGTCAGCCACCCAGCCCCCAGTGACTCCAGGCTCTTAGCAGACACTTGGAAGTGGATACTGAAATATGTTGGATCAAGAGACATTAAACATGGCCCTTAATATGCCAATAGGTCCTGCAAATGGCCAGAAAAGGTTGGGCAAGGTTTCTCAAATTTATTTTGAGTTAAATAGTCTCTTGGGACCAAAGAACATATTTTGGGAACTGTTAAGCTAGTCTAGTCTTTCATTCTATAGGTGGGAAACTGAGGTCCAAAGAAAGGAGGGACTTGCCTAAGGTTCACTGTGACAAAGTCAGGACCTGAGCTCTAGCCCAGGGCTCGGTGGTCTGGGACCTGTTAGCACTCGCACGGTGGGGAAGGGACTGGTTTTGATTTTCATCACGCCCCCCCTGCCCCAGCCCTGAGGTGTCTCAGTAGGTCAGAAATGTCTCTGAAGGGTGGGCTGGGGGGCTGCCTGCCCAGGGGAAGGCTGAGCTAGGTCAGGAGATGCACGCCTGGTTCTGCTCGGGGAACTTTGTTCTGTGCTGCCCTGCTAACCTCTGGCCCCACACACAGGCGGGAGTCTGGGGTGGGAGTTCAAGCGCTCCATCTCCTGTCGCGCCTGCCTGTCCCAAGGTGCCTGGCCTGCTGACATCTCCTCCTTCCACTGCAGAGCAAGTGGTTCCTCTGGGGACTCCCCTTTCTAGGTGTGTCCAGGGTGGAGCTGCCTGGTGAGCTGCAGGGAGAGCAGAGTGGGTGGTCTGGTTTGGTCTGACATCCCCATTGGAGACATGGGTCAACAACGTCCCTCACCAG